TAAAAAGTATCAAGATTTACTGCTTTGAGCCAGGTTTACCTGTATTATGAAGGTTTTGCCCGTGAATCCAGTTGAAAGCCCAACCTTTGACATGTACTCTTCATCGTTGATAAAAACTTCAGTACCTTTCCATACTCCGCGTCCGGTGGCTGATGTACGCCCGTGAATACCTCCAGCAACAATAGGTTTCCCAGTAATGCAAGCGGCTGCATCTTTTTCAAGATGGCCCACTGTTTGTGCATAGGTATCAGCAATCCAACCCATCTCACGTTCACCAGTACCCATATCTGGGGCTGGAACATCAACACCAGGTCCCAGAAAGCCTTTTTTAGCAAACTCAATAGCAACACGACGTGTAATCTTTTCAATTTCATACTCACTGTACTGGCGAGGGTCAATTTTGACGCCACCTAAAAGTAATCAATTTTTATGATTATGCAGTAAGTAACAAATAATTTTAAGGATTATATCACAATCTATAAATCCACGAACCTTTGGCTCCACCGAATGGGACATCGACAACAGAACACTTGTAAGTCATAAGCGCTGACAGGGCTTTAACTTCATCTTCACATACATCCATGGAATAACGGATGCCACCCTTGCACGGTGTGCGATGTTCACTATGTTGAGACCTCCATGCTTCAATAATTTCATATTGTCCGTTCTCACGACGAATCGGGAAGGTGATATATAGAATCTAAACAGAGCAAACGAGTTGTTTTGCCTAGGCCAAAATACATTCATCTCGAATGGCTCTGAACCTTAATTCTTAATCACGTAATAAATCGTAATTCTTGGTTCATAAAAGTGCTTCTTAAAATGTTCAGACACACCACGTTTGTCAGAAAACCATTGATTATAAGGGTATGAAGGACTAAACTAAAGTACAAGAGCACTTGTGCAGCAGAAAATTACAAGCCAAAAATTACTTTGTTGACCGGCTTTATTGACGCCAGAATACCTTTGACTAGATTTTTTTTGTCATTCTTGGTCATATTTTGTGATGTTATTTCTTCAACTAATTTTGGCTCAATAATTGCAGCGCCACGGTTGAAATAATAATCAACCATCTGAAAATACATTTTTTTTTTCTTATGATTTAGGGCCGTATTTGTCAAATTTTTCTTCCTGCTCATTTTTATTTTATTTCTTATATCATTAACTAAAGTTAAAATAATTTGAAAACTTAACCGACAGTACATATCTAAAGAATCATTGTTTCAAAAACAGATTTCCTTGATTTGC